ACAATCCTAACCATCTCTAACTCCCCATAGCCCTGGCCGGTGACTTCTGTGATCTGACAAAAAGGAAGGTATGGGGGAGAGTTGGTTGGCAGAGAGGACCTGTAAGACAGGATTGACCTCAAATGCTGGGGGTTCTCTCTAGAACGCGGAATGTTGAAGTCACTTTATTGCTAGTCTATAGCAGAGCTCAGGATGCTGAGATAGGAGCCTGTTATGCCCTCATTTTAACATGTACCCACTGAGAACAATAATGATATATATGTGTATATATACACACACATATACGTGTATATATATACACACACACACATATACATATATCATATGTAATATTCCAGACCTCCAAAAATCAGGGCACATTTTTGGGCACTCTTCTTAGGTGGAATTATTAAACAAATCCAAACCAGCCCAAACCAATAGCTGCCCGCTAACCCACAGCAAATGCAAAGAAATGCAGCATACTTGGATTTTCCTCACGACTGTTTTTATTTTTCTCATTGTCAGGTTCGAGCTGTTGAAACACGGGGCAGCAGACATAGGCCAGAGACTGAGAGCACTGTTGGCTCTTCTGGAGAACCTAGGTTTGAGTTCCAGTACCCCCTTGATAGCTCACAACCACCTGTAAATTCAGCTCCAGGGCATCTGCTGCCCTTCTCTGGCCTCTTCAGTGCAAGAGGTGCACAGGCATACATTTAGGCAAAACATCCACATTAACATGCATTATGATGATAAATAATAAATTTAACGTGCTATTAAAGTAATGATATAATTTAAAACATCTGGATGGCTTTATATTCCTGGTGCCCCAACTATATCTTTATTCTGTCGAGGAACCCGGTCCGACCTCATGTCTCATCAAGAAACTTAAAAAAAAAAATTGTGAAAATGCCTTTTGTGATCTATATGAATACAAATGCTAATATTGCAGGCATGAATATAGGCAATATTTTCACACTCACACACACGCACACACACACGCACACACACACGCATGCACACATACACACACATGCACACACACACGCACACACACACGCATGCACACATACACACACACGCATGCACACATACACACACACGCACACATACACACACACGCACACATACACACACACGCACACACACACAATACACACACAATACACACACACACTCTCACACACACACACGCACGCACGCACACACACACACACATGCATGCACACCCGCACCCGAACCCCTTAGTTTGGCATGTGACATGAGCCAATGTCAGAAATGCACTTTTGATCTCACTAGTATAAGCAAATCAGGGAAGACCACTGTTTTATGCCACAAAATAAGCCTAGCTCTGAGGTTTTAGGCAATGTCTTGGAGTTTCACTTTCTTTATGTATGAAATATGGAAAATAATAGTATCTATTTATGGAGCTGTGAGAATCAAATGGGTTAATTTACGGACAAGCACTTAACCTTAAAAGAGTGTGGCATGTAGTCATCTCACCAATAGTTGATATTTTTATATACTTGTTGAAACTACATAGAAAATAGGAACTTCTTACGTTTCCTGTTCTTTGGATATTTTTCAATTGATATGAAATGGAATAACACAGCCTTTTCTTTTTGATGAAGTTTAAAACTATTTAAAGAATTGTCCAGAGCAGGGGTCCAAGTGGCGTGAGAAATCACTGCTCCAGGAGAGCGGTGCCTCACCTGGACTCTGGGTACCAGCAGGATTTTAGCCATCATTTCAGCGAGCAGGTGAATGAGCTCCCATGGCGGGGATGAGAATATCTGCAGCCGTCCATATTCCCAAGACTGAGCCATGGGAAATTCATCAAGTGAGAGACCTGCACAATTCTCTCTTCCTGCCCTAATTCATACTTACCCTTCTTTTAGGCTTTGTTGGCTCCATCCAGTGTGCCTTTGAACTGCTGGGTGTCTGCGGATTGATACCGAAAGGAGAGGTTGACCTAACGATTCTTCTCAGATGGCTTTTCAGCGTTTCATTTATTGTTTCGGCCCCATCGCTTTTCCCCCTTCAGATCATGCGCGGCTCTTAGTAGGTTTATTGGCTTTCCTTGCTGAGATTGATTTAGATGGGTTTCTGGATCCAGAGGCGGCCCACTTATACATTTATTTCTTGCATCTTTTCTCTTTTTTCTCATATCAAGCTTTTGTTCTAAATTCACCAAGGGTGTTAGGACTCAGCACTCTTGCTCTCCCCAGCAAATATTTGCCAGGTTGTAATTTAATTTTTTATCAATGGCCAAATTTAAACAGGGACAATCTTATTTTAATTTGCTCTGCATAATCCCTCCTTTTGGTACTTAGCAGAAGCAAATGTTAATTTCTAGTTCTTTCTCTGCTATGCGTTATTCCTCCATTTCTCATGCATTTTAATTAAAAATACAAACAATTTGGGGGCAGCAGGAACTGCATTTGGACTTCAGTGTTAAACAGAATGTATTTTGACAGGAACAGAAAAATATGTAGAGGGCTGGGTTTGGGAGCCAGTGAGGAGATTTCTTTGGGAGCCTCTTCTTCTTGTCCTGTTCATCTTTGTTACGACCTCTGGGATGTTCCAGAATGATCTGGTTCTTTGATAGTGCCCTGTTGCTGCAATGAGCTGAGTGGGTGGCAAGGATTGTTCTGTCTGAGGGTGGGCACCTCTGGTGACCGCCTGCAGTAATAGTTTGCATTTGAACTGCCAGGTGTGTGTGTGTGTATGTGTGTGTGTGTGTGTGTGTGTGTGTGTGTGTGTGCATGCGTGTGTTTACTATTTATAGGAACAGAATTTCTGTTTAAGAGACAGGGTAGCTACTGGGACAAGCTGTTAAAAGCACACTACAATAGATTTCTCAAACTTAATTAAAAATACATAGCATTGTAACCCAGGCTAGCCTAAAAGTTGCTATGCACCCAGGCTATCCTTGAACTTTCCCTGCCTCAACTTCCCAAGTACTGGGATTACAGATGTACTTATCTTTGAGTACATGGATGACTATGATATTGGAATAGATATCATAGTCAGATGCTAAATTCACATTTAAGTTCCTTACTTAACAGCTTGCAAAGGTACCCAGCAATGGTCCCATTATCTCACAGGTCTCAATTGACACTGGGAGCCGTGTTTTTGGCTTGTGGCCACTATCTACTGTTAAATCAGCTCCTCTTGTTACCGTTTTATCAGGGAACTCTGGGTACTCTGTAGTCTTCATGGCCAGCTCAAGCTTGCCTCCCCCAGGGAGCCTTTCATGACTGCCCTGATCCAAGATGACCTGTTACTAGTCAAATCCAGCCACCCTCACACTGCTGCTTATGGGCCCATAAAGAGGCATTTATTAGGACATAGGTAGATTTTCTTTATCCATTTTCTCTATGGCTGTTTTGAGGGTACTGTAGCAGAATTGTGGCAGCGATCACGTGATCCCAAAGCTCACAGTATTTGCTTTCTGGCCCCTTTTCGGGAGAAGTTTATTAACACTCGTCTAGAACTAAGAGGACTTCACATGTCTGCCTTTCAGTATGACCTGCAATAAATGTTTCTTATTTGTCAGTTTACAAAAACTCTTCTAAATTCAGCACAGACTTTTAGTGTTTGCCAGACATTTTGGGCTCTGAACAAATAATCACAAAATTACACTTGGAAATTGGGGTGAGTCTGGGCAAGGAACAAAGAAAACTCAGGAAGCAATTTTATTTTCAACCGAATAATCCATTTATTATTGTTGTCTTGTAGCTGCAGAAAAGCCCCTCCTAGGAGTCTTGCACCTAAACCACCCCCTTCCAACATAGGACTATTACTTGTTACCCATCTCAGCTTAAGAGCATAAATCTTGAAACCGGGGAGATGGTTCAGTGGGTGAGAGCACCTACTGGACAAACACTAAGACCTGGGTTTGGATCTCCAGCACCAGGGGAAAGTTGGGTGGGACTGTATGCCTTTAACCTCAGTACTTAGTGTGTTGCGGCGAGAGAGGAAGATTCGTGGGGATGGGTGATCAGCCAGGCGAGCTGAAATACTGAGTTCCAGGTTCAGTGAGAGATCCTGCCTGGGAAGAAGGTGGAGCATGGTAGAGCAGAGGATACTTAGGTCCTCTTCTGATCTCAGCCTGCATGTGCACAGCACTCCACAGTGCACAGCACTTCACAGTGCACGGCACTCCACAGTGCACACCACTCCACAGTGCACACCGCTCCACAGTGCACACCACTCCACATGTGCATACAACTCCACCGTGCACAGCACTCCACATGTGCATGCAACTCCACCGTGCACAGCACTCCACCGTCACAGCACTCCACCGTGCACAGCACTCCACCGTGCACAGCACTCCACCGTGCACAGCACTCCACAGTGCACAGCACTCCACCGTGCACAGCACTCCACAGTGCACAGCACTCCACAGTGCACAGCACTCCACCGTGCACAGCACTCCACCGTGCACAGCACTCCACAGTGCACAGCACTGCACATGTGCATACAACTCCACAGTGCACAGCACTCCACAGTGCACACCGCTCCACAGTGCACAGCACTCCACAGTGCACACAGCTCCACATGTACATGCACATCCACACACCCCCTACTATCCAAAGACAGACACACACACCAAAAACCATTTGTCTTGTCTAGTTTCTAGGAGGATACGTGAAGATGTAACAATGGAAAAACTCTTTTTTCAAGACAGGGTTTCTCTGCTTTGGAGCCTGTCCTGGAACTCGCTCTGTAAACCAGGCTGAGCTCAAACTCACAGAGATCTGACTGCCTCTGCCTCCCAAGTGCTGGGATTAAAGGTGTATACCACCATCGCCCAGCCTATCTTACAAGGATCCAGATAGGAATGTGGAATTGAAGATTGGCATTTATTTTAGCACTTAATGGAATCCCTTTGGGCACTTAGTTGTGTGTGTGTGTGTGTGTGTGTGTGTTTGTGAAAATTAGCTTGCATTAATATCAGACTCTTTGACCTAGTGGTATAAAACTAGATTCACTGACTGTCTCTCTTCCTGCCTGCCTAGTGGCCAGCCCATTCCTAGAGTGGAGTATACAGAAGAAGAAACTAAAACTTGGGGCGTTGTGTTCCGGGAGCTCTCCAAACTCTACCCCACCCATGCTTGCCGAGAGTACCTGAAGAACTTCCCCCTGCTGACCAAGTACTGTGGCTATCGTGAAGACAATGTGCCTCAACTGGAGGATGTCTCTGTGTTCCTGAAAGGTAAGACTCTGCAGGCTGTCCTTCTTGATTCCCGTCCCCATTTGCTTTTCAAGGGCATGACAGTACACCATGAGCCCCTTTTCTAAAAGGAGAAAGTAGAGGCCTAGAAAGAGGAGCACCGAATCAGCTAGCAATGACCTCTTGACTGGAGAAATGGATTTGGCTATTTGTACAGCTATGAGCTTGTTCGGGTCTTTCTCTGAGGCATGCTGTTATAAATGGTAAGCTGGAAAGGAGACCTGACAAAAACCCCAGCTTTGAGCCTCTTCTAAACACAAATTATTACTTATACTTATTACCGGAGATCATACGTCTATGATCAAGGAGTTGAAGGGGTGGCATTCCTTTCGGGGGGCTTCTGTTCCCTTGCCTTTTTCAGTTGTTGGAGTCCACCTGCACTGCCTGGCCCATGGCTACTGCTTTTCATCACTCCGGCCTTAGACTTCCATTGTCTCCATGTCATTTCTAAGTCTTCTGCTCCTTTGCCCCCAGACAGGCTTTCTCTGTGCAGTAGCTCTGACTGCCTGGAACTCGCTTCATAGACCAGGCTCGCCTCGAACTCACAGAGATCCTCCTGCTTCTCTCCCGAGTGCTGGGATCAAAGGTGTGTGCCTCTACTGCCTGGTCCCTGCTTCCTTCTTGTAAAGACCTTTATGATTTTAAATCCTCCACTTGGATAATATCCTCATCTTGGAAGCATTATTAGATCACCTCTCTAACGGTGACTGGTCCAAGTTAGACATTTGCAGACTCAAGGCGATTGGGCCGTGCGCATTTTGGAGGGTCGCTACTTAACTTTTCACTCCTGCTTCTCCCTGGAATCCGCCAGGCTGCCACTTGCTGCTTTGGGACGTTTCCTTCATTCCACTTCTTCTACCCACATTAAGGGTACCCTTCTACCCACCATTTGGCCATCTCCATTCTTAAGCTCCCCCTCCCCCCTTTACTACCCTGTCCATTGCTTTCACACAAACATAACTTCCCCCCTCACAGATTGGCTTAGAAGCTCTCAGAGGCTCCTTCTACTTTGAGACAAAGGAGGAGCTAATGGGGGTGGGTAGAGGAGAGGTGGAGGGAGGGAGCAAGAGGAGAAGAAGGAGGGGAAACTGTGGCCAGTACGTAAAATAAATAAATAGATAAAAACAACTGGAATTGACAATTGTTAAGGGTAGGGCTAGATTGATCGACATTTTGAGTTTTGTGGTCTAAGATAAAAAAAAAAAGCCAAGTTATTTATGCGGGCACTTATATAGTCATTTTGATGTGAACATTGAAAAGTACAAAGCCATTCTCCTATCATTATCAGGATCTCAGCCTAGACTCCCCCTTCGCTCTGGTGATTGTGATAACCATCAAAAGAACTCCTATAATGAGACACAGAGAGACCAGTGTAGAAAACAGAATTTATTATATAGTAAAGCCAAGTACACCCTCAAGGGGTGAGAGTAGGTAATAGCCAAAGGGACCTTTGCTTCAATCTATGCCTTAGGTAGGTTTTATACTATTTCCAAATTCCTTAGAACAAGCAACTTCTCCTGTGGGACTTTGTCCTATCTAGGTGATGGACAGGCCCGTTTGGATAGACTCTTATAGGTGGGGACATTGGTGTGTGTCTTCGTTCTGTAAAGAATACCGCCTGCTCCAGAGGGACCTGACTCGGTTGTGACCTCCCGCAGCCGGGTTAGGCAGTTGTCTATTAAGGGCCTTCGCAGGTGTTTAGGATCTTTATATCTTCTCCCAGGAACAGTGACATGATTCAAATCTCATTCCTGTGATGTGAAATTAGACTCCTGATGCCCGAGTTCTTGGTTTATAGAAGGTGCCTGATCCTCAGATCTCCCAAGCTTACTGATATCTCCCTGTCTGCTGAACACCAGGACAGACAGACAGACATAGACCAGGGCTGAATTTGGAGGAGCCTGAATTGCTCAGCCTCAATGTAAGGCCCCGACCCAGCTCTCCAAGCACGTCCTGTTGCATCGTCCGACGCATATGATCTGTTCTGGCTGTGGGGTGCTCAAACTTGTGTTCAAATGCCATCCTTCAATTCTTCAAGGTTCAGGCAATGTCCTGTCTCCTCTGTGATCCCTGGTGGTCACAGCGATTAGGACTCCCTGTCCCCTGCTTTTGTCCTATGTCATAAGTGGATCAGAATGCACGATAGTTAGTCTTATAGCTGTGCCTCTGAGAGCTACCGCTAGCCCTGACCGTGGAGGAGAAGTCTGGACGTGTGAACGTTGTCCACTACACTGCATTTGTGGCTTAGGAGAGACAGAAAGCCACTGATCAGCCTCATCTAACTAGCACCTAGTTCCATAGTGACTTTTGCTGTGGTTGGAGCTAGACCATTCTGGCAACCTGGCAGCTCACAGGGAGGCCTGCAACCTGCATCTTTATAATGGGATTCATTTTTCATACATAGGATTTATATTTTGCTCTGTTGTTTCTCAGCCTTAGTCATTAGAATAATATCCCACAGCTTTGGCCGTCTCTTTCTCCCAAGTTGCTATTTTCTCTCACGTCGGCCTAGCGTTCGGTTTGAGTCACTCACTGGCACACAGCAGACACAAGTTCAAGTGTGCGGGTTCGAGCTTCTTTTAATTGACTCATTTAGAAAAGTTGCCTTATTGAAATGAAGCAGAAACTTCTAAGCCAGTAGTATATACAGAGCCAAGGTTCTCGATGACAAAATTTTACATTTTTCTAACTTTCATGAAATAAAACATAAAACTATTAAAATAAAAAAGTACTAACTTATGCCCCACCTATGAGATATATTGCCATAACTGATATAATATAGGAAAGGAAGAACATACACGTATCCTTTTGATACTCAGGAGAACAATCTAAGTAGGAAATTCTTGGCATAAACATAATGCTGCTAGAATTACGGCTCCAGGGAGGCCTGAGAACGGTGTTATTTATATGCTGGTACCAGAAATCCCCAAATGGGCTTGCTTTACAAACTTTGTTGGCTTTGCCTTTTATTGCTGTTTCCAGCCATCCTGAGGTCCCCTCTAATAAGTTGTTTTCAGAATGAGGGCTTGTGTAGTGCTCGCATCCCGGTAAAGTCCTCCTGGACACGACACTAAGAGAGATAAGCCAAAAGCCACGAAGACAAAGAACAGATGGGCCTGTTGTCCATGGAGCCGAAAACCATCTAAAACAACCAGACAATAGAGCAGTAGTTACTGAGGTCAGAGAGTAAGAGAAACGGGAGATGTCAGTTAAAGGCTACAAAGTTGCCCTTATGCACAGTGAGTCTAGAGACCTAACTTGCACAATGACTCTGGCTGGGCACACTATGTTACCTAATGGCATTTTTCTTGAGAGTAGATTTTTATGGTGCTTTTAACCATACACATGGATCTATGTAGAATAGGTATATTAGGCTGACTTTGCAATCATTTGACTGTATATTTATAAAAATGTGTTTGACATTTTAAATACATAGTTTTTTTTACTAGAAACAACCATACTCCTAAAAGAGAACAATCAATATAAAATAGCCATTTTAAAACACAATATTTCAGTAAAACAGCTTATATTATTTTTTGTAAGATTGAGATCAATGATGAGCCGTAGGTTTCTTTTGCGAATGGTAACTTCAGATTTTAATCGTATTCTTATTTTCATTCATTCTCACGCTCATAAAACGATCTAGTACGTGCTGCTTCGGGGACACCTCAGATCACGGTGATTCTCTGTGCCATAGGACAAAGGGCAGCACAACACAATGATGTTTGGAGGGACTTGCACAAAAAGCTAGAGAAGAAATAGTTCCAAGATGCTGATTGAGGGAGAGCCTCCGCTGCGTGTTGCTCAACATTGGCACACAGAGCGGATACCCAGGGGAGGAAACCGAGAGTGTGTAGGTGTGTAGTAGGCACCATGCTAGGTTATAATCTCCTCCTACATCCTTGAGTTTTCTTATCCGCATTCAGCTTCTGAATTTAGGTCCCTAAAAATACTTTTAACCTTCTTTTTTAATGAACATCTTGTTCCCCTGGAAACCATCACTCGTGAGCAAAAGCATATTTTAGTCACCGGAGTCCACAAGCATGATGTCTGTTAACAGCATGCGTCATTCCTTCCTCAGGAGTTTTAAAACCTGGATGATTTTGCAAATAACAGAGACCCTAAGACTTCATCATGTAAGAATGTATTAATTAATGAATATTATTTAATGAATGCATTATCACATATGAATGTATTATTTAATGACTGTCATTGCCAAAGACTTTTTTCCAAAGGGTGAAAGCATGTATAACAAGTGTCCAAAATAGTAAATGAACTTTTAGTTCTTAAAAGATTATTAAGAAAAAATATATAGGCCCTCAGGTCCCAAGGTCTGAGTTTAGTTGATTCTTCCTCTTGTCTCTCTTTTTTTTTTTTATTGCGAAAAGAAGAAAAAAAAACATAAACAAAAAAACAAGTTTCCTCCTCTTGTCTCTTTAGAGCGGTCTGGCTTCACAGTGAGACCGGTGGCTGGCTACCTGAGCCCGAGAGACTTCCTGGCTGGCCTGGCCTACCGAGTATTCCATTGTACTCAGTATGTGCGGCATGGCTCTGACCCCCTCTACACCCCAGAACCGTGAGTACTGTATTCAGAGGGAAACTGCATGAAGGTCACTGCTGTGTAAGCTTGCTTGACTTGATTTCTCATTTTCAGCACTGAGAACCACAGCACTTGTTTGGAGAAAGGAGAACAGTCTGGAAGATCAGCATCTTCAGTTGGTACCTTGGGCCTCTGATATTCTAGCTGAGTCATCTCTCTTACTTTACTGCAATAGTGGATGTTCTGATTGAGCCAAACTCTGTTTTTTTTTTCCTTCTTAGCTTTCTCCTCCTCCTCTTCTGTTTTTCAAGATATGGTTTCTCTGTGTTGCCCTGGCTGTCTTGGAACTCACTCTGTAATCCAGGCTGGTCTCGAACTCAGAGATCCACCTGCCTCTGCCTCCTGAGTGCTGGGATTAAAGGTGTGCGCTACCACCGCCGGGCATTCTTAGCTTCTTGAATGTTCTTCCATTCTTCTCATCATATCTAGATAACAACAAAGCATTTGATTCTTTTTTGCCTGTCAGTTTTCCTCAAAAGACTCGTCCGTGGCCCTTACGTCCATTCCTTCCTTGCCAATGGGAAATTAAGATCAGAGAGAGAAGCCATAAGATTGGGTCATCTAACGACGTTGTGGGTGAGCAGTAGGGTGGTGGGGGTGCTGGTGAACTGTGACCCCCTAACTGTTGAACAGTTAGCCTTCCCATAAATGGGATTATACAGTCTACAAGTGCCAGATATCCTATATTCTACTTACCATACTTCAAAAAGTAATACTTATTAGGAAGTACCTATGTGCTTGGGTCATTTGGGAAAGAGACAACCCCTTGTTGCCCTGGGCTGACAGGATGGAGAGCAATGGTTAGTATATAAGTAGACCGGTCTTATGACATTAGGTGTTAGTTGCACCAGTGACTGCTGGTAGGTCCTGTGAAGGCAAATGGAGCAGGGGGAAGAGATGGAGAATCAATTGTTTTACCTATTGCTATGGGTCCCCCAGGTGCCCAATGGCAGAGGACATTGGAGCAGAGATCTGAGTGCAAATATTCTAAGTCAGAAGAGCAAGGAAAAGAAAGACCCCGAGGCTGGGCCCTGCCATGGTTGTCTGCCTCCCTGGGTTTCATTCAGATGAATGCCTCACCCCAATTTTAGGCTAATTTCTTGCTCACTGTTCTTCAAGGCACTCAAGTTATCACTTTGCTTATGATGCTGTTTTCCTTGAATAAGCACATGATTAATGGGCTGCCAAGGTCTTCACAGGGGAGCAGAGAGCCCTCGAGGTCCAAGCAGTTAAGTGGCTGATAACTGCGGAGGTGGGCAGGGATTAGAGCTGAGATTCTGGAGCCTCCCTCCCCCTCCTAGGTTGGCACGAACCACTGGCCAGGTGAGTCCCTGTAGGGTCACTATGTTGTTTTTTTTAGCTCCATTCAGCTTCTCTGAAAGCGTTTCAGGGTAAACAAAGGTTACTTATAGGACTCCAGACATTTGGAAAAGCAATGCCTCTTAGAGTGAAGTACTCAAAGGAGCATTGTCAGAGTTAGAAAGGCAATCTCTAAATCTAGCCCAGAGGGTTTACAAATGGCCCTGTTTACAAATATCAGGCACTTTGTTAGCTCTTTTTGAGCAACTGGCCCTCCTGAGACCCGTGATAGCGTGCCAATAGGTATGCAGAAAGAGATGGCCAAGAAATGAGATTTTAGCCACAGAAGTCTATAAAATTTTGGGATAATGTATTACATTTTTACCCAAGTACTTGCAGCCAATTCATTCAGCAATATTTATGTGCAGTGTTAGCAGGGAGGTACAGCCGATTTAGAGATGAATAAAATATAGTTTGCTTTGCTTTTTTTTCTTTCCTTAAAGCAGTTGACATCTGGCAGGGGAGGTAGAATCACAAATAATCAGAAAAGAGTTTCTTTAGGGGTATTGCATTAGAGAGTCCCAGAGGACAGAACTATCCAGAGAGAATTGAACAAGAATAGAAGTTGGAAATGGCGAGCAGAGAGCTCCAAGTGAAGGGACAAGCAAACCCAAGGGACAAGCAAACCCAAGGGACAAGCAAACACGAAGTCATGGAGGCACGCAGAAGGTATCAGTAGCAGCTTTCATAGAGCATAGAGTGGCTACGGTACAGCTTATATCAGAGGTGGAAGTCATCTGAGCAATTCAAACTCATTTGTCAACCTAGGACAAATGGGATTTGGTTTTCATTGAAGGGGCTAGGGAACTGTCCAAGGTTCTGAAGCATGATCCGGTATTTATGTTTGAGAAAGATGACTGGGCACTGCTGTAGTGTGGAGAATAATCATAATGGAAAGTTGGTTAGGGTGCTGAAAGGTTCCATATCAGGTGTTGAGTTAAGGGGAGGCAATGAAGCAGTGGGGTGTCTCTTTCATGTTCTCTTAACCCCATAGGAAAGGACTTAATAAAGTTTTCGGACTGTAGTTAAAGACAAGGAGAGGGAAGTCCCCTAAGGTAATGGTAAAGTTTTTATTGAGGAAGTAAATGACTTGTTATTTCTAGTAATTGTTAAGATTACTGGAAGAAGAAGATGAGGAAATGAAGAGAAGGATTTGGATTGGAATATGCTGTCTTTGAGATAATCGGGGTTGGGATTTCCTGATAAAGAAGACCTTAGTTCTGGAGTTCAGAAGTGAACTTGAAGATTGTACTAAAAAGAATTGAGAACTTGAATTTTTTTTATTATTTTGAGTATTTAAGACAATGTATTTTGAGTGTATTCACCCAATTCATGCCTATAACTCTTCTTAAATCCACTCCCATCCCTCTACCTCTTTCTCTGTATATATAATGACCTGAATCCAATCTGTGCTGCCTAGCTATTTCTAGGTCTGAGGGCTATTCACCAGCACATGACTGATGTACCAGAGGTCATAGTCATAAAGAAAACTGATGCTCTCTTCCCTGGAAGCCATCGGCTATCCAAAGATCTCCACACATAATTGAAGATGATTCCTGAACTCCTCCCCACTCCGTGTGAGAACGTTGATTGGCTTGACTTTGTGCATGTGACCACAGGTACCATGAGCTCATGAGGTCTGCAGTTCTGCCAATGTCCAGAAGAGACTGCTTCATGTCTGTGCCCCAACTTCTGGGGAATGGTCCTTTCAAATTGTAGGAGTCCTGTGGATGCACAGACAAGAGGAGAACCTGGGAATTCACCAATTTTGTGTTGTCTTGTTTATCAACTAATTCATACGATTGTGTATTGTGTAGTCTATATATGTGTATATGTGTGTTTATGTGTGTGTGTGTGTTTGTAGATGTGTATGTGCAAAGGATGACCTCGAGTCTCATTCCTCCTCTGGTGTCATCTACCTTGGGGCTCTAGTGCTTGTGTGGCAAGACATTAGGGATTAGTTTCCTTAGCCTTAATTTTCATAATATTTATTTGTTTAAAATGATGATTTTGTAACAACTGATGCACATATAGGGCCCAGAATTCAAAGGGTATACTGTACACAACAAGTTCCTTTTCTTCCCCTTGATACTGGTTTCTATTATAGCCTTCCAGAAATATGCTATGCAGAATAAATTCTCTATAGAGATCCTTTTCATCCTGTGGATCACAAAGTCCAGTCTCTTTTTAGTGACATGGTTTGGACCCATAAAATACTGTACTTAGAAGTGCCCTTTCCTGCCCAACAGCTTTCACAGACATTGTCTTTAAAATGAAATCCCGCTTGCTCAATTGCATGCCATCAAGAAGGGCAGAGTTTCCAATTTGTGAGGTTCAGCTTGGCTGCTGTGTTTGGTGCCCGTTCGTTCCCTCTAAATTGCAGCCCCTCAGGTGTTGAACTATGGTGGTGGAGGTGGCCCTAATGAGACAAAGGTGAGTGGTGAAGACTTGGGTAGAAATGGGAATGAAAGCCACAAAAAGGCGTTATCTGAAAAAGGGACTATTTTCTCTCTGCCAGTCCAAGAGTACAGTTTGCTATCACAGATTTCTACATATAATGACTTTTTTTTTCAGTATATTAACTGATGTGCAAATAGTACTGTGTGGTTTCTTAAATTCATCTGTTTTTATGTACATTGCCATTTTTGCCTGCATTTATGTCTGATTTTCTAACACACGTTTTTGGTTTGCTTATATGTTTTCCTCTTTAAAATGCTTTTACCTTATTAATTTTTGGAATATTATTATTTTATGTGTATGGGCGTTTTGCCTACACATGTCTATATACCACTTGTGTTCCTGGTGCCCACAGAGGCCAGAAGAGGGCACCAGTCCCTTTGGACTTGGAGTTATAGATGGTTGAGAGCAACCACGTGGGTGCAGAGAATCTAACCCTGTCCTCTGCAAGAGTAACAAGTGCTCTTAACCACCGAGCATATTAGTCCTTCTCTACCCTTTTCTCAGCTTTTATTTTTATTTTATTGAAAAATTGTTTTCATAAAATATATTCCGATTGCACTTTTTCTCCTTCTCAGTTCCTCCTAAAGCCTCACTACTCACCCAGTTCCATGCCCTTCCTCTTTCTCTCTCCTTAAAACGTAAATAATAAGTAAAATATAAAAAAACCAAGAAACACACACAACATGAAATCAGAGTTTACAAGTAAAACACCAATAAGAGAAAAAAAATAGGCCAGGCAAAGCTATGTGAGACAAAGTTTGCAAAAGTACTTCTGAGTTTATTTTATGTTGGCTGTCTACTCCTGGGCATGGAACCTGCCCTGAAGTGTGGTTAATATGGCCAATGAGACTCAGCTGCAGAGGACTACATTTTCCTTTAAATGGGTACCAATTGTAGATTGCTTCTTGGTTAGGGCTGGGAGCCCTATCAGCTTCTTCCTCTCAAACACTGGGAACCTCTCTGGCTTGAACTTGTGTAGCCCTCGTGAATTTATATGTGAAGCAGTTCTATTATGTCTGGAGGACACTTTCTTTGGAGCCATTCACCTCCCCTGGCTCTTACAATCTTTCCAACTCCTCTTCCTCATAGCTCCTTTGGTCCCAAGGGGAGAGTTTGATGAAGAAATTCCACCTAATACTGAATACTTTAACATCTCT